AAGGCTTGAAGTATGAAGTCACTAAAAAGAAAAAGTGAAAGACCAGAATGGACAGGGATGTACCAATAAAAACAAGTCCATGTGGTGGAGACAATTAGATACTAGTTTATAGGATTCTCTCTAGCTCTGAATAAGATCTTCAGTTCACTGAGATTTGAAGGGAGAACATAAATTGATTGCTAAGTGCTACAAGTTCCTTTATGGGCAGTTCACAGAATTGTCCTCCATTCCACCCTCTCTCTCCCTCTTCCCTCCACTGGAGTACACTGCCTGCCTTATTCTTAGGTGCTGGACATACCTGTTCCTTGGGAAACTTATTTGCTATCTCTGAATATTCTTTTGAAAGCAATCTTCCCCGAATTTTTCCATGGGGGTAATCCCTCACTTATCTCTCCAAGTATCTCCACCAAGAATCTTCACTTGAGGCTTCTAATCCCTCCTCCTGATATGAACATGTTCTCTTTTTTTGGCTTTTTTATACAGGGTTTCTCTGTATAGCTTTGGAGCCTATCCTGGCACTTGCTCTGGAGACCAGGCTGGCCTTGAACTCTCAGCGATCTGCCTGCCTCTGCCCTCCGAGTGCTGGGATTAAAGGCGTGTGCCACCAACGTCCGGCATGAACATGTTCTTTATCCTCTTCATTTTTTTCTCCTTGTGACTATCTAGCATTCTATTTAGTTTATACATTAATTTAATTTAATTCCAGTCAATCTAATCAAAAAGTATACTTCATAACCTTGGGAATTTTCTCGGTTTTACTTATGAAATTGCAGGCTCTTGACAAATACTAGTTGAATGTGAATGAATACATGAGATTCTCTATCTAACATTATCAGTGTATGATATAAACCAAAGAGAGCCATCTTTGCTAATGGTACAGATACAAAAAGAAGTGACTTCACTATATCGGGGCTATGTTTAAACTGCAAGAGAAGTAGGAGAGAGTTATGGAGACACAATGGACTTATTTTGAGTTATGGAACTACATGTTAGTGTACCTACTTGGGATTGAAGGCCAATGTGAATTCAAACAGTTCAAGGATCGTGACTATTCCTACACTTTGCCTGCTGTGTCTAGTAGATCAGATAATGAGGAAACACTAACCTTGTGGCTGACTGTGGAAATTAGATCAGCTCGGAGGAGTCGAAACACGTGTTTGGTGTCAAAAGAATCACATGTGTCACTGTGGGAATGGTGACTGAGACCTTGGCCCTTTGAGATTGTTTCCCTAGACAGGAAAAGTGGGAAGCCTGTAAGAACAGCACACGAGTGGACATGAGCATTTTACTCCTCTGTCTGCCAGATCCCAGGAGCATCAGCTGCTATTCCCACAGCCAGTTCCTCGAGCCTACTGCGTAGCATTATAAAGAGACCAGTTCCTGAAAGCGAAAGCCAGATCCAGCTGCCCTCCTTGAGTAGAACTGCACCATTCTCAGGTGAGTGCTCTCTTACCAGGAGTCTGCCACTCCTGCCACATTGAGGGACCTTGAAGACCCCACACACTTCATTACAAGACAATCCCCAGTGCCCTAGCAGATGATCTCCGGAAAAGCAGGTGATATATAACAGAATTTTGTTCAACTATAAAGAATGAAATAATACCATTTACAGAAAAAATGAATAGAACTGGAGATCATTGTGTCAAGCAAAGTAAACTAAACTCATATGCAGAATCTGTGTGTGTGTGTGTGTGTGTGTGTGTGTGTGTGTGTGTGTGTGTGTGTGTGTAGAAAATAGAAAGGGACTATCAGAGGAGAGGAAGGAAAAGGGAATTATGCATTCCACATGACATGAAGAAGAAAAAGAAGGAAGAAGGAAATATTTGAGGGTGTGAAGAGGACAAACAAGAGGGTGGTGAGGAGCTGAATAAGAACAATGTATAATACGTTTCCATGAAAAGGAAAAGGGAATTATGCATTCCATATGACATGAAGAAGAAGAAGAAGAAGGAAGAAGGAAATATTTGAGGGTGTGAAGAGGACAAACTAGAGGGTGGTGAGGAGCTGAATAAGAACAATGTATAATACGTTTCCATGAAAATGTCATGGTAAATCCTTTTACTTTGTATGCTAACTTTAAAAACTGATGTTTAAACACCCTAAAGAAACTTCAATAGCAATTATAGTCGGTCGGCATGTCATTTTAGAGAAAATTTATACCCTTAACACAGTTTTGTGTTATATTCAGTGAACACTGTACATCATTCCATTTGTTAGATACTGTGTTTAATTTCTCCCAGTAATAGTTCGTAAGTCACAATGTAAAAATTTTCTACTGGTTTTGGTTAAATTCGTTATCATTGATGCTATTGTGAATAAAAGGTTTTTGGAAGAGTATTTTCTGATACTTCATTATTACTGTAGGAAATATTGAGCTTTGTAGACTGCTATCAACACTCCAACCTTACTGTTTTACTGTTTATATTAGTGTTTTGTAGACTTTTTAAGGTCATATAGCTAAGAAAAAATAGTTTTACCTCCTTTAAAATAACACAATGGACCAGAAACTAGGTCTGTGCTTTAAGCACCAGCCAGGCTGGAAAGATGCTATGCAGAGTGGTGCATTAGGAAAGCATCGTACTGTGGGTGAGAGAGACCTGATGGTGGATGAGAGAGATCTTTCTGTGGATGAGAGAGACTTGAGTGTGGATGACAGAGACCTGACTGTGGATGACAGAGAGACCTGAGTGTGGATGTCAGAGACCTGACTGTGGATGACAGAGACCTGACCATGGATGAGAGAGCCCTTTAATATGTCAGTGCCACAGAAGCCCTTGAGAATGTGAATTGTTACTTTTGCCTCTTGGTACACCTCCAACCTGCCTTCTTTTCACATTTGTCCCCATTTCTCTTGGGTACAGTGGTCAAGTAATATGGTCTTTCTCCAGGGAAGGTTATTTTGCTTTGCTTACACCACACAGAGTCATTTGTTGAGACATTTGCATTCTCTCCCACAAGCTGTTTATAACAGATACAAAGACGGATGTTGGATCCAAGATAGAAATAAAAACACACAGGGCTGTTTTCAAAAAATAAAAACATACAAGAGTGTTCACATTCCCTGTGTGTCCACACCAGGAGGGAGATGTGACAATGGGAAATGGGTGTTTTGACAGAAATCTAGACATATCAGGACAGGGAAATTGTCAAAGGTCACAGGATGATACCTCGATAAACCAGAGAGGTCAGCTCGCCAGACAGAGTGGCATCCGGACTACAGTAGCCCTGTGAGGATTGAGTGGTGTGCATTGAGCTCAGGCTGGGCTCACAGTTCTTGTTGGGTTGCTCATCCCAGTCTCTTGCAAATTATCTTGCATCTAATTGAAAAGTGTGATTGTCTCTGACAGTATCAGGTAGCAAGGTTTAGAATTCATTATCTGTCAGTGAGGAGAAGCTGTTCCTTTACCTGCAGAAAATCTAAGGGTAGAAAAAAATCAAGACCAGTGGTACAGATTTTATAACCTTTGAATTTTTAATCTGTTTGTCTTTGCTCATGCATGATAGGGAGACTGCAGCTTTAAAATTTTTGGGTTCTCATTTTTTATGATTTAAAGCATTAGTTTTCTAAACTCTCTCCATTAAGGGTCATTTCCAAGATGTATTAAAGAGCTTGTTTAGAAGGGGAAAAGCATCCTGGGAGAGATAAACAAATTAATCAGGGTACCCTGGATACTGTCAACAAGGACACCTGCATCATCTGCTTCTTAGCATCAAAGCCCCTGATTCTCATACCCAAGCCAGTAACTGCTGAAGTTAACCAGCTCTAAAAACAGGACATTAGGGAGTCTGGCAGAGAAAGAGTTTTATGTGAGTACTCAGATGATAAGATGGGAATGAGATTGAAACAAAGCAACACTGGGCTCCGGAAAACCGAGAGAAGAAACCCCTCCCTTGACATGAATGACTGACTGGCACAGATCCCAAGGGAAATCCTCAGAATACCATCATAAAAAAATCAGTAATACTGCTCCCCAAATCAGGGCTTTGAAAACACCCTTGGTGGTGACTTCCAAGCAACCAGTTAGCTGCTGGCCAGCTACTGGAGGTAATGGATCCTGCCGGCATCTTCATTTGCAAAGAGAGAGTTCCAAGGAGCTGGTACGTTTGGTTCTCTGAGTCCAGATAAGTTTCCTTTTTCTTTTCTTTTCTTTCTCTTTTTTTGAAAAGCATTTTCTATTCCTCCTGCCTTGGAAAATCCTTTATTGTCTCTTCCATCTACCTAATTCTGCTCATGCTCCAAGACTGAAATGAAATGAACATCATGTCTAGGAAAGCTCCTCTGTCTTTGTCATCCCCTGAAATCAATGAATCTCTTCTGCTAGCTTTACCACAATGCTCTAATGTATCTGTTACTTATCCATCTCCTGTCCTAAGCAAGCCTTGTGGAGGCCCAAAGGAATGATTCCCAGATCTGTGTCTCAAAAACAGCATTGTGCTTAACAGGTCATTCAAGCAATTACTTCTGAAATTTGAATTAATAAATATAAAGAGAGAGAGAGGGAGGAGAAAGAAAAATGGTGAAGGAAGGAAAGCAGAAATAAAGAAGGATAAAACGAAGATGAGAATAACAGGGAAGGGATGGGGAGAGCAAGGGAAGGTGATATCTCTATCTGAAAAGTTAGTTAATATGGTAATTTTACAAAATGTAGAGTGCCTAGTATCCAGACAGTCCAGGTAGAGACAAAAAGAGGTTTCGAGGAAGTCACACTTCGGGGATAAGTATTTTTCCACCAAAGCTTTATTTTGAAATTTTAAGTGTCCCTTAGTAATGGTGAATAATAAACTAGTTTTCAGCATTTGCATTTCTTCCTTTGGAAAAGAAAGCCATGTAGCTTATGAAAGAGCTGAGGTGTAGATGGAGGCAGAGTGAGAAGGGAGGGAGGGCTCCAGGGGACTCTCTGGAGAATCAAGCTCCAGGGGACTCTCTCATTCTGCTCCATGTCCTTGCAGGCTGTCAGTGTGACCTCACCCTCTCCAGTACTACTCACTTGGTGTCAGCGATGAGCTCCTGCAATTTCACACATGCCACCTTCGTGCTTATTGGTATCCCAGGACTGGAAGAAGCTCAATTTTGGTTTGGCTTCCCACTGCTTTCCATGTATGCTGTGGCATTGTTTGGAAACTGCATCGTCGTGTTCATCGTAAGGACAGAGCGAAGCTTGCATGCACCCATGTACCTCTTTCTCTGCATGCTGGCAGCTATTGATCTGGCTTTGTCCACATCCACCATGCCCAAGATCCTCGCCCTCTTTTGGTTTGATTCCCGGGAGATTACTTTTGATGCCTGTCTTGCCCAGATGTTCTTCATTCATGCTCTCTCGGCAGTTGAATCTACCATCCTGCTGGCCATGGCCTTTGACCGTTATGTGGCCATCTGCCACCCACTGCGTCATGCTGCTGTGCTCAACAATACAGTGACAGCCCAAATCGGCATGGTGGCTCTGGTCCGGGGATCCCTATTCTTTTTCCCACTCCCACTACTGATCAAGCGGCTGGCCTTCTGTCACTCCAATGTGCTCTCCCATTCCTATTGTGTCCATCAGGATGTGATGAAGTTGGCCTATACAGACACATTGCCCAATGTAGTCTATGGCCTAACTGCCATTCTGCTCGTCATGGGTGTAGATGTCATGTTCATCTCCTTGTCCTATTTTCTGATTATACGAACAGTTCTGCAACTGCCTTCCAAGTCAGAGCGAGCTAAGGCATTTGGAACCTGTGTGTCACACATTGGTGTGGTTCTGGCTTTCTATGTACCACTCATTGGCTTATCAGTGGTACACCGTTTTGGAAACAGCCTAGACCCTATTGTGCATGTTCTCATGGGGGATGTCTACCTTCTGCTGCCCCCGGTGATCAATCCCATCATCTATGGTGCTAAGACAAAGCAGATCAGAACACGGGTGCTGGCTATGCTCAAGATCAGCTGTGACAAGGACATTGAAGCTGGAGGAAACACGTGACCCTTACCATTCCATCACCCTTGTTCTAGAGAGCTTAATATAGTAATTGATCAGACCTGTTTAATTCCCATAAGCACATTAGTGCTTTTCCCTGGATGGGATAGTGAACTAAAGTATGGTTTATCTTCATCGTGGATATAATGTGAAATAATATATATCAATGAATATTGTGTTGCTTAAAGACTCTGCTATAAAATGAGACACAGTGATGAAAAAGAAAATAGGAATTGTGATTTAAACTAACTGGCCAGGTTTGTCATTTGGATGGAATAGGTTCAAATTATCAATGACTTTGTTTTATTCATACTCTCTTTGTCGTGAAGCTATTGTTCAGCTGTTATGCATAACTTCTAAAATGGTAGCCAAGATTTGTTTCCTTCACTTCAAGTTTATTATTCACTACCCAGGAACATATCCAAACTCTAAATAGTAATGCTTATGAATGTATCATGTATGCTTAAGATGGTCCAGGCTGAATGACAAGTGTTTTTCAGCCTTTCTGTGATCTCACCCTTTCTCCAGGGAAGGCACCATTTTTGCCCTTTATGTGATAGAGGCTTTAATGAGAAAAGAAACTTTCTTGTATATGCTGTGCCAAGATTTTAAATTAAATTTGATAATTGAGTAGATTTGTTTTACTACCATGTTATATTGCTTCCTGTTTAACATCTGCCATCTATTTCCTCTGCCTGTCACAAATCCTGTTTTCTCTGTGCTGTGTGCTAACATGGGTGTCTTTCTGTTTGAGCTAAGTGATTAACCCTGTCCTAGGTAGTGGCGGCAAACTGTTCTTCCTGACAGAGTAGCCTGCTTCTTCTCAGATAAAGGGAGGACCTTTCAATCTTTTAGTCTCCTAAATATGCTTGATCGATTTTGTCTTCTTTGTATTATATCCTGTATCTGTCAACTCTTTTGAATGTGTAACATATGATAGAGACTGAGTCTTGACTTGTGTCCAACAACATAATAATTTATCTTAAAATGTTCAGTGTTATTTCTACCATGTTTATGTTCATAGAATCCTATAAAGTAATGTTAGGAGGTATGAGAGCTCCCCTAGTCTTCTTTATCATCAGTGCAAAGGTCCTGCCAAGTATGACTTGCACAACTGTAAAAATGTTGAATGAACTTATCTCATGTACAATATTCCCTTTGTATTAAAAGAGATGATGAAAAGGTTCTAGAAATAGTAGTGATACTTACAGAATAATATTAGTGTATTCAGCATATACTTAATGCTTACAATGGTGAAATTTATGTAATAGGTATCTGCCACAATTAAAAAATCATTTAAATTGTTGTAAAATATTTTATTGTCAACTATATAACATTAATGCAGTAATAAAAGTTTAGATATGTTAGATTAAAGAAAATATATTAGTAAGGCTTTTAAAAATAGCTCTAAAGGAATGATATTAGGCCTGAAGTACCAAAATCTAAAACTCAATAGTTTGCTATTGTTATAACAGACCCATATTACAGCCTTTCAGAGCTGGTAGCTGTACTTATAACTGGTCAGATAACTTAAGGAGGAGCCAACAGCAGGAACAGCAAGATTTTTCTGTCACTGCACACCCTTGGGTAAGTTATGTACTTTCTTTGCATATTTTTTTTTACCTATAACTTTGTAATAGGCTTCATTCCCAAAGCTAAAAGGCAGAAACAAAAAATTCCAAGGGAACTTAGTTATTCTTTCTGTGACTATCATGTAATAGTTTAACAAGATCTTTTTTATTAGAGTAATAAAATGGTAATCATGTGGATGAGGGGAAATCATTTGACATTGTTATGACTAACATTTTACATCAACTTGGCTGAGATATAACCTCCTGATATTTGAACATACATTTTTCTGGATAGCTCCATGATGGTGTGTTATTGAGTGATATTAACACTGTAATCGGGTACTTTGTGGATGCAGGAAGGAGCACCAATGTTATCCTCAATTACATCATGAGTGTAAATCCACAGATTATATGGAACACTTTATGAAAAAGATGGGGAGAGAGACAGAGACAGAGAGAGACAGAGACAGAGACAGAGACAGAAAGAAAAAAAGAACTTTCTGCCCTTCTATGCCATAATATGTTCCCTCAGAGGATGACCAAGAAGAATGTGGTGAAAGGCACAAGCATAGCCTTACTGAACCCCAAAGGTACTATAGGACCATGGGCTGGAATTTGGGGGCTCAGAACGATATTTTCCATGCTGACACTAGATGAGTGATCTTCCCTAATTCATGTAATCTCTTCAGTGAAGGATAGCAATTGATTAGGATAATCTCTGAACTCCTGCCGCATTTCAAACATGCTATTCTGTTAAAATCATTAACAAGCCTTAGCGAATTCCTAAGGGCTCTCAATACCAATGCCTGCAGGACACTCCGTGGAAGTTGCACTCTGGCCTACATGAGAGGCTGACCCCTTCCCTATGCCTGCACCTGTTCTTTGCCCAAACATGGCATTTCTCAATTTAATCTCCTACACTCTGTTCCTACCAACTATGGCTCTTTCTAAAATATCAAAACGGCTCCCAGGGACAGGATTTTTCCAGCACAGGAAACATTCAAAGCTCTCTAAATGGAAGTTGAGCCCAATAGGAAGAGTAGCTGTGTGACTGATCAGGTCAATTCAGTCTTTGGCTTGGATCCTTTATTGTTGCTAGAGTTGATGATTATACTCACCTGGTAGTTCTTTTATGAGAATTGGGTATGATAATCCTTGGTAAACACTTAACACAGCATTCAGTGTTACTTAGTGTGCTCTCCACAAATACCTGACATATTATAATAGGAGGGAAACAGGTTAAAAAAAATGTGTTGCATAGCACTGAGGTAAAAGTATAAGAACACACATTAGAACCACAGCAAGCAAAGCTCTATGTATGTAACCCACCTCCTGTCTCAGGCCCCAGAGTGGCATTCACTTGCTGACATTAGCCCAAAAGCTTGAAATTTAAAATGGAGCTTGTTGGGGGGGGGGACGGGGAACTGAGCATTTAAGAGCACTGGCTGCTCTTCCAGAGGACCCAGGTTCAATTATTGGCACCTCAACACTGTCTGTAATCCCAGTTCCGAAAGATCTAATGCTCTTTTCTGCCCTCTGCAGGTAACAAGTACTCGTGTAGTACATAGTCAAAAGCAGTCATACACACAAATTATAATAAAACCATTAAAAAAAAAAAACAGACTTGCAAGTTCTCCATCTCTCTTCTGGCTCTCACTCCTCTCTGTGCTCCCCACTCTTTTCCAAGTTCCCCCACACACACATACACACACCATATAGACACTAGGTGGGGGATGGGAAATGGAAGAGAGCACAATGGGTGAGGGGGATGGAATTTTAATGAGACAGAGAAGGGGTGAAGTGATTGACATGTTCACTGGAGATGGGCTAGCAGGCCAGCTTCCAAAGCTGTCCCAGGAAAACATGGTTGCATTTCAAGTGATGGCAAATGAAAGGGATAAGCAAAGACCACTGCTATAGCTTAGCTACACAAACCAGGATCCTGGGAGAGTGTTTGTCTTTCTGTTCCCATTACCTGGAAAGGCTTCTGCATTTGAGGAGCCTAGTCAGCTGGCATGTGGCCCCAGGCTGTTCCTTCTGTGAGAGGCCACTGAAACTGGGACTCTCAAGCAAATGGTCATTGCAGGGAGAGTGTCTTTCCCAGCAAACAGGGTCTCCAGGGACAGATAACCATAAAAGCACTGCCCTGTTCCCAGCCGTGTTTATGTTGGCCTGATAGTGGAGGGCACTCATTTAGGTAGCCAGTCCCCCTAGAGAGCTGTAACACAAGTTTGCCTCAGGACAGAGAACTCACAATCACTCCATGCTTTTATGTAATCCCCATCTCTGAGCTGTATGATTTATCTTAGATAGGCTTGATTAGAAATGAGGGGGGGATAATGTGTTTTTTTCTGGGAATAGAGACTTCCCTGGAGGAAAAAATTTACACTTAACATACACTTACGACCAGATTTTACCAGTTTCCTATCACATATTTGGAATTCTTTCTGAAAATATCACCAATTCTTGTAGCTTGTGCATAGTTCAAACACAGTCTCATTTCTCATTTTTTCTTTTTTAAAAAAAGTGTATATTAAGTATACATAATAATGTGTTTCATTAAAACATTTTAAGTGTATATAATATATTTCTGCATACATCTTGAATGTCATTCAAGGATAAATACTCAGACATCATTTATGCAGCATCCCATAGCCTGATATATGGAATATGAAAATGAACCATGTAAATATCAGGTATAAAATGAGTTGTGAACACTGAGCCCATAATATAATAGTCTATAAAGAGCTTTTAAAAGTTCGGCAGCCACACCAAGGAAAGAGAAAGCAGTTTGGAGGATGGAGAGACAGACATTCAAGAACAAATGATATTTAAACTGAAGTCAGATTAAGGTTAAGAGAAGCAAATGGAGAAAAGCAGAGGGAGACTAGAGAGCCATGAACACTGTCATAATTTTAACACTGAGAGACCTAATTGCCAAAGCAGGGGCTGTTTCCCCGAAGCCAAAGCTGACATACTACAGGCATCAGTCCATTCCAGTGAGCAAGGATGAACCCCAGGCAGACAAAGAAGTAAATAAAATGCAGCGTGGAGCTGTTCACTCCATAGACAAGAATTGTTAGGTCTTGCAGAACTCCCTAAAATTTGTCTCAGAATATTCTGTATGTGGATGGAAGGTGATAGTTTTCACTCTTGAATCCTACTAAGCATTAACTCCAATTACTGGTAAGTAGTCTATGCCTGGGTACCCAGTGAATCTCCATGGACCACTCACACTGTGTGTGAGAAGGAGAAGACAGGTGAGAAGCATGGGGTACAGGGTATAGGACCTTAACAAGAGCGAATCAAGGTGACCAGAGCCGGCTCAGAACTGGTACCCACAGCCATGGCTGGAATAAGAAAGAAAATCACCAAGAATTCAAGTGGTTTAAAAATAAATCAGGTGATAAAGCTGACAAAACAATATTTTCCAGC